AGCATTTTTTAGAGTGTAATTTTGGTGTGTTTTGTAATTTTTATTCGTTTTTGTTGTTTTTTTTATGTCTATAGTTTGTATTGTTTTCAGTTTTACTTATTTTAGTTCATCAAGATGTGCATTAACCAAATGAAAATAAAAAGTGTTTCTGTTGCAGCAAGCTTAAATATTGTAATAATAAATAACTGAATTTATTTGATTTGATTTCAGTTAATGCTTATTTTAGGTGACTTTTCTATGGTTTTATATTTTAGTTTGGTTAGGGTCACATGGACTCTTTTATCATGTTTTATTGAAGGCTTATTTATTGTGTTCATTTTTGTCTAACTTTGTAGAATTTACAATAGATAATCTTTTAGGGAACAGATTTTCACTATAGACTTCTGTTACAACTGTAGCATGTTGTAGCATGTTTCTAAATGTGCAGGCTGTTGTTTTCATAACAGCTGCTTTATAGATGAATAAAACTGCGTCCTTGCATGCACTAATAGTTAATGTTACTCTGAGAAGCTGTTAGTTAATTCTAATGGTTATGAGTTAATAGGTTCATGTTGAGGTTAACTCTGTAGCTCCTCTAAATCTCTAGGCTAGTCTTAACCCATTTAAATCCCAAATTTTTTCCCAGACATGAAAATATCCGAATCATGTGTCATTAGTAACCCTTTGAAATAATCAAAAAAAAAATTTTTTTTGAAAGTTTTTTTGGAAAAGTGTGTGAAAAATTGTGTTTTATGGTCAGTCACAATTGTGAGCGGTGGGATAATGTGCATACTGAATTAACATAAAAAAATTGTTATATATCATAGCTCTATGATTTTTATCACATTCTATTATGCATAAAAAAAACCTTATACAGCACTGATAGGAATACTGAGATAAAAGACAAAAAATACAACATATTTCAAAATTGTTACTTTTTTGTAACATATCATCAAAAATGTTTAGTGCTACCAATATTACAACATCAGTATTTTAACTTATTTGTAACATTTGAACTTTTAATTAAGTTTGATCACATTCTAGGGTTACTATTATGCATAAAAACCCTTATACAACACTGATAGGAATACTGAGATAAAAGACAAAAAATACAACATATTTCAAAATTGTTACTTTTTTGTAACATATCATCAAAAATGTTTAGTGCTACCAATATTACAATATCAGTATTGTAACTTATTTGTAACATTTGAACTTATAATTTAGTGCAATATTTTGTCATTGCAACATTTTAGTGCAATTTTCATTAACAACTGCAATTGGATTTATAACTCACTGTTATCCCACCGGTCACAACATGTTTACTCATTCTATGACCACACTCAACAAAACTGAATATATGTGAATTCATATATTAATACTAGACACCCTAAAAATAATGTGTACCAAAAATCTTTGTTAACATACTTTATGCTTTGATGCAGCCATCATCTTCTCAAAGTGCAAACAGTTTAAACAAATTAAACTGCTCTGGTCATGTGAAACTGCACATATTTAAATTAGACCCTTTATTTTTTTCCATATTTGCAGGAAGTGCACTAAAACATCAGTCAGTAAGGTTTTTAGAGCTTTATAAATTAAAACCTTTTTTACGGTCACTATTGAGACCGGTGCATGGGATTAAATGGGTTAATCTTTCTGGATTTGCTGTAATAAAGTGTGGGATTGTTTGACATGTTGTGATTTAGTGTTTATCTCTGGTTTAATTGTAGTTTAGTGTTGTGTCGTGTCTTTAGTCTCTGTTGGCTCTCGCTCATGTACTGATCCCAGACCAGCGGCACAGCATGCATCCCACAATTCCCCACTGTTCCCTGCGTCTGAGCGGCTCTAATGAAGACGCTCGCGTTAAACGCCTACAACAGCCGCGCTCGTGTGTGAGAACACAATTTCCAGCATGCCGATCTTTCCTCTGCTGGATGCAATCAATTAGGACTGTGTGTGTGTGTGTGTGTGTGTGTGTGAGTGAGTGTGTGTGTGTGTGTGTGTGTGTGTGAGTGAGTGTGTGTGTGTGTGTGTGTGTGTGTGAGTGAGTGTGTGTGTGTGTGTGTGTGTGTGTGAGTGAGTGTGTGTGTGTGTGTGTGTGTGTGTGAGTGAGTGTGTGTGTGTGTGTGTGTGTGTGTGAGTGAGTGTGTGTGTGTGTGTGTGTGTGTGTGAGTGAGTGTGTGTGTGTGTGTGTGTGTGTGTGAGTGAGTGTGTGTGTGTGTGTGTGTGTGTGTGTTTGTGTGTGTGTGTGTGTGTGTGCACTTGTGCTTGTGCTTGTGTGTGTGTGCGTGTGTGTGTTTGTAGGTAATTGTGCATGTGCGTGTGTGTGTTTGAAATAGAAATAAAATTTGACTTCACAATTGTAAGGCCTTAAAATATAAAGCTGAAGTTCATATACACTGTTAAAAAATACACTCTAAAAAATGCTGGGATAAAAAACAACCTTTGCTGGGTTATTTTGGCAAACCAGCGTTGGGTAAATATTGGACAGAACACATGCTGGGTTATTTTGACTCAACTATAGTTTCAAAATTACAATATTGCTGGCTTAAAATGGTGTGGAAATTAGAAATCACACACAGAATTACTAGAAGTAACGGTAATAATCAAAAGATGAACATTTATTTAAAAGACCAATTGAATTTATTTGGATGAATACAGCATAGTTTACAATATTACATACCAGGGCCATCGAGAATGAAAGATGCTCAGGACATTTGACGGTCATCACGAAAGCTTATAATTTGCACGTGTTTTAAACATTCAAGAGATTTTAAAGCATTCAATCGCAAGAAGAACTCAACTAAGCGAACCCTGAATTGAGTTCTCTTTCGCATCTTCTTGCACTTGAACGAACACATAGACCTCGCCAATTTAAACATTTAAGTGCAAAAAGATGCAAAAGAACTTCGATTGCTCCCCCTTCCACTGCCCCCGCTGGTTTGTGTTCCTACTGTGTTTCAGAGTGGCAGCTGTCATCAGAGTGGCAGCTGTTTACCCCTGACGACGGCCAGACGATGAATGGATGCTTGCTACGGATTTTGAACATTTTGATGCATTTTCAAAGCAGCAACACAGAAGAGCACATGCGTCTATTCGTCACGACTGTAATGCAAAGCTTGAAAAGAACACGGGAGTCACTTTCTGCGAGCAGAAATGAGATATAAATTCTCTCTGCTGCAGCCCGTCAGTCACGCTGTAAAGGCGGAAATACACAGTTTGACCTATTCATATGTCACTAAAGGGATAGTTTACCCCAAAATGAAAATTACCCCATTAT